AATTTCTTCCTGAGCTCAGGATCGACTTCATCCTCGTTTGGCATTGGAACATATCCAGCCGGTAGAGGGGTCGCTGCGAACTTGGCGTTCTGCATCCCAAAGCGCTCTAGTACCTTGTCAAGATAGGGAGTCTGATCAATCTTGATCGAAGATCCTACTCTACTGAGGCGTACGCGCAAGAACTCTGGAGTATCTTCAGAATTGCGGCATTCCCATCGCTTGTTGAACTCAGCCTTGAGAAAGGCGAGGAGCTTCTTGTTCTTGGAGAAGAACAGTGCATCATCCACATAGACTATTATGACGGCTATGCTGCCATCAGAGTCCTTGTAGAAGAACACGCCGGCATCCGATGTCAGTCGGATCCAGCCCATGGCTTTCGTGGACTTGGTCAGCGCTTTCCACCATGCTAAAGCAGCTTGTTTGAGTCCATAGATTGCCTTGTGCAAGCGCATGACTTTGCGCTCTTGGCCTCTTGCCACAAAGCCTTCGGGTTGTTCCATGTAGACCTCTTCTTCAAGCTCTCCATAGAGAAAAGCCTTACTGATGTCGAGTCCAGACCAATGCCAATCATTTAGCGCTGCAAGCACCATGACCAACCGGAACGTCTCATACCTGACAACAGGAGAGAATATCTCGTCATAGTCAACACCTTCGACTTGACTGAAACCCTTGGCAACTAGGCGGGCACGTTTTCGGCCATCGGATTTTTGGTCAAAGACCCAGCGACATCTGATAACCTTCTGTCCTTTCGGACGGTCCACAAGGGAATAGACCTTGCGCTGACGAAGTGCCTCTAACTCGTTGCGGCAAGCATCAATCCAACCTTTCTGTTGTTCAGAAGGCAACCGCTTGATATTGCGGAACATCCAATCGCGAATTTTGGACGTATCAGGTAGGTTCTCATTTGGAACCGCTTTTGACAGCAGCGCCGTGATGAGCTCTACTCCCCCTTCCCGGCATAGCTTCTCCATGCGTGCATCCTCGTCTAGATCATCAGAAGCACCCGCGTTTGAGGAATCTGGTTGCGAGCTAGGGCCGGGAACCCCTGCATCAGCACCGGTTGATGGTTGAGATTGGGAGCTACCCTTATCTTCACCAACATACCGCTTCCAGCCTCTGCTGTTCTGAATATCACGGACTATGTCCGTAGGGTTACGCTTTTCCCCATAGACGTTTCCTGGACGTGTAGGCACATTCCGCTGGCGTGAAGACCTTTGAGGCTCAGGAGCTGGTGAAGCTGCCCGACTTGGTCGTGGAATTCTACTCCTACGAGACCTCTGAGGTTCATCCCGACGCTCTGGCGGTGGGTCCTGACGATTATGACCGTCGTCACCATCATCATTTCCTTGTACGGGAGGTGGTGGAGCCGAATCAGATGGCATAGGAAATGGAAAAGGATCATCTCCATATAGCCAATCTTCTCCGTCTACCTGTGGTGGATCTTGTGGATTCACTGGGTCATCACGTTCTGGAAATTCCTCTCCAACAGGAACGTGGGGTGGTCGATTGCTGTCAGGACAGCGGGGGAACAACTCCTCATCGAACAATGCCTTGGTGGCGACAAACGTGGAATTGTTTGTGCGCATGAATAAGAATCCTTTCACACCATCAGGAATGCCCAAGTAGGTCATCAGCTCCGATTTGGGCGATAACTTGTTGGCGCGCTTCTCATCAGGGATAAAGACGTATGCAGCACTACCAAAGACTCGGAGTTCGGAAACATCCAGTTTTTCCTTGTGAAGAGCTTCAAATGGAGTTTTCCATTTTAGACACCTGATAGGTGTCATATTGTAGATCCGTGTCGCATGCTTTATCGCGAATTCCCAATATGAATTAGGAAGACAGGCAGTGAAGCGCATGGCTTCTGCCTTGTCCATGATCGTACGATTGAAGCGCTCGGCATGCCCATTCTGCTGATGAGCATATGGAGCACCCTTCTCCACTAGAATTCCTTGTTCCGCGAGAAATTCTTCCATTCCCATCCCCATGAATTCTCCCCCATTGTCAATATGCCACTTTTTGATGGTGACATTGAACTGGTTTTTGACCATCGCAATGAAGTTGCGCATAGCCTGCTTGGCGTTGGATTTCTGCACGAGGCATACTTTCCAGCCATAGGAGAGTGCTTCGTCAAAGAAGCTCATGAAGTAACGGTACTTGTGATAAGACACCGTGGGAAATTGTTTGAGATCCGAGTGGATCAGATCAAACGGATTCTCCGCTCGTTTTTTGGAAGGCGGGAAGGCATGTTGGTGCATTTTCCCTTGTGCGCATCCTTTACACAGTCGGGTTTCCTCGGGAAATACTAGGTCTTCTGGAAAGCCCTTGGTATTCTTCTTTGCCTGACGTAAAACGTCTTTCGACGGATGTGCAAATCACCGGTGCATGATCTCATAATCCACCTTGTAAACAGTGGACATGGATTGCACTATCTCAGCCGTGCTAGGCTTCAACATCAGGAAGTACAAGGCAATGTCCTTCCCTAGAGTTCTAAACTCCATGATCGAGAGTGGGGACTTCCCTCGATGTAAGCTGATCCGCGATTCGTCTCCACGAACGCGAGATCCTCCTTTGAGTAAGGAGCCCAAAGACATGAGACGACCATGTAATCCTGGCACTAGGTACACTGGATATATCTGAGAAGTCACCATAGTCTTTTCTCCATGCCTTGTGACGTAATGATCGATGAAGGCTGTTCCTCGACCAATAAGGGCAACACGTGTGTTCTTATCAGCAGTCTGAGCAACAATAGGATCTGAGAGCTTCTCATATCCAACCAGATCACTAATCTCCGATGTCACATGGAGAGATGCACCAGAATCGAGAAGCCATAGAGGCCCTAATTCGTGATGATGATGTTTCCCCTTACACTTAGAGCAGGCAGCAAAATCGGAGTGCACACAGAATAAATTTGTACAAAAATCATGCGATCGAGTCATCAACGAATTAAGTACAGAACCTGGGGCGGCGGTGATTACGCGCTCTGGCTGTGAGCAACAATCAGAATTGTGCATATGCCCAAGAAGGCAGGGTACTTGCCTTTCGGCGGAAGGAGCGTCCATCTCCTCCAGAAGGGTGTTGAAGTCTACGACCTCATCCCAATTGACGGGTTCAGCCTGGGCGAACTCGCTGTCTCCAAACAGAAGATCAAGATCGTTCTGTTGGCCGGTGGCCATCTCAACATCGGGGATTTCCTTGATGCGACTGCGCTTGGTTGGGGGACCATCATCCAGTGTCTGATTTGAGCCCGAAGCAACCAGAGATGGAGAACGCATGATTGCGTCCTCGTGGAGCATTCCTTTCTCATTGACGATCTTGTCGAGAGTCCGGAAGCGTTCTGCGGTTACCGTCACGTCCATCTTCTTGGCAAGCTCAAAGACCTTGCGAGTAGGCTTCTGGAACTCGGTGTCAATAATCCCATTGTTGTTAACGGGAGACTTCTCTTGAGCCGCGCGGATTTTGGGTCCATCGCGAGAGATGTGCGTGACATGCGAGATCGTCGGCGCAGGATGCGACGGAGTGAGGGAAGTGATCAAACCAATGGTGATCGCTCCAGCTATCTTGGAGACGCCATGGACATGACCTTGATCGGCCTTGCCCTTGCCCTTGTCCTGGTTCTTCCCACTGCGCTTGCCTCGACGGTTCTTCTTCTTCCCATCAGCCTTATCACCCTTATCGGGTGCAGAGCCGGAGCCCTGTTGCTGATTGGAGAAGGAAGGGTCGTCGCGTTTACGCTTGGTATTGAACTTGGTGACCTGATTCTTGTTGCCGTGGTTCTGAGCGTAATAGCTCAAGAGAGCCTCACGGACAACCTTGATCGTCATCTTGTCCTTCGTAGTATTCTGAAGAACATGCGTGGTCACTGCGGAGATGTGGGCAACGTTCAGGATGATCATCGCCTTGAGAAACTCAGGGATTTTCAAATCCTGCTCATCGAGACGCTTGAAGGCGGTTTCGGGGATCAGCAGCTGAGGATCCGGATGCAGGGTGGCATTGTACTTGGCGTCTAATGCCGACTGGAACAGCGCAAACAGGTCCGCAGACTTGGTGCCGCTATATTGTTCAGTCAAATAGTTCCAGATCCCAGCAGCGGAAGTCGCATTCGATTCTGGAATGTTAGCCCTAACAACCTTGGTCAGGCGCAACTTAATGCTGCCTTTGGCCTTTAGGTCATCGGTCTTCCATTGGCGAATGTCGGATTCGTTGGTTACTTCTCCATCAATGTTCGTGATGCGAGTAGGACATTTCTCGGTGATCACATAGGCAATGCCTTGAGACTCCAAGAAGGAGGTCATGAGACTCTCCCAAGAAGTCCAGTTCTTGCCATCGAAGATCGCGACAGAGGAGAGAAGAGAGTTGGACATGTTAGATCTGTGTGAGTGATCAGCATCAATCTAATCTGATAGATGAAATCAAAGATCAAGATGATCAGATCCTCATAGATCATAATCTCCTTTAGAGATCGATGCATCTGGATCAAGCGATGTAATTGCGATCCGGCATGGTTTCACCAGCGCTATGCAGCAGCTGAAGTGAATACAGATAGGCTAAAGACGCTGCTCATCGTTGCAGCCAGTGACGGCGCATACAATGAATGTCGCGGCCACTGAGGCGCAGACATAGCTCTCGGGGCCCATAACCTGTTGAGCACTGGGGAGAGCGTCTAGCAGCTCACCTGTGTGAGTGAGAGCTTAGTGTGGGCACTATGCGGGAGTAGTCAAGAGACTTGTATTAAAGGGTAATAGAGCCCTCCTTATATATGATACAGGGGGCCGTTTGTGTCTATTTGGGACGAGTTGATTTGACTCTAGATGACACGTGATGGAGTCATAGATGTGTATCACGACATCCATCTTGACAGATGATATTTGATCAACAACTCACAAGGTTTGTCAAGAGGATGATATATAAAATCAAATACAACTTGGACAGACTACACTTTGGTACATACTGTATGGTGGCATTGTAGATATGCAATACAATACACAACGAAAAAAAATTCACGCATCCAATGTTCCGCTCCTTCTTCCGAAGATTTGACCAACGGCTGTGCGCTCCTTTTCTTTGGCCTTCACTCGCCCCTCCTTGATACGTTCGATCCCGCTTTGGATACTTTTAATATGCACATGGACAGGAATCCGCAATTCCGTCAGCTCTGGAGCAGCAACTCGTTCCCTCAGATTCTCAATGTCCTCACTCATCTGCGTCAATGTTTGTAGTGTGGATATAACATGCGCCAGAGCCTGAATGCGATACTGGCCAAGGCCCTTCAAGATCTCAAGATGATGAGCGTAACCCCTCAGTTTTTTGCGATTGCCTCCGAGGATGGTCCATAGTTCACCAAGGAGCTCGGATTTAGCAGCAGACAGAGACACATCTTCTCTCATGACAATCTCGTGCAGGACGGACAACTGCTCCTCAAGACTGTACAAGTTTTGCATGTTGACTTCGAATTCGAGCACGAGACGCTGAAGGATAGAAGAAAGGTAGTTCATGGAATCTTCAAACGTCTCAAGAAGGATCCCGGCGTTGGTTTTCCTCCAGGGAACTAATCGGTCCAGCAGTGACGGTGCGGCAGCTGCTTGAATGCTGTGCAGAGCATAATCATTCACCGCGGTGATACTAAGACTTGAGTTAGACAACACAATAAGGAAGAAGAGGTAGATGTGCCCACCCGTCAACTGCTCCAGCCACCTTGGCATTGAGCTTATTCAAGGATTGACCCGCCTTCCGAGCGTCATCCACAAATGATCGGAGCGCATTGCTCAACGACTCGCGACTCTTCAGCTCACTCACCCCAACCAACGTCACCAGGTCTGTCGTTGCAATTTCAGCCTTCTTGATCTGCAGAGCCAGCGCAGATCCTGAGCTTGATTCATCCAGCAGCTGCTCAATTGCCGCAGTCTGCATGTTAACCAACGACGGAAAGTTGGCCCATTCGGGAAGCCCTTGTCCAAGTGACACAGAGACTGGAGGAACACAAAACGAGGAGCTGCTGATTCCTGGGACAAAGCACATAGGACTGATCATAGCCCTGATGGTGTACGACATCAAGCCGCATAGAAATGCGACTATCCATAGAAAAAGAAGCGTAGACAAAGGGATGCGAAGGAGTAAGATGACGCGTTTGGAGACGTCCAGGAAGTACCAGGAGGCAAATACCCCGCCGTTGATTACATGCTGCTTTGTGACAAAAGGTGAAGGAGACAAGGTCTGAGTGGCGGGAGAATCTCTGCTTGTTTGTCCGGGTGGGGCACCATGTGTGTTTTCACGTCTGCGAATGGGCACTGTCGGAGTCCCACGTTTTGAATTCATTCCGGCCTGTTTCGGATTCCATCCATAACCAGAGTCGTCCTGGAGACGTGTTTTGATGCGGTGGCCATTGTCGTCACTGGACGGGACATTCAGGAAGAGATTGGAAGATCCGCGCGGCAAACATGTCGGTTCCGTTCCTGTGGGACCCAGCGGCAAACGCCTGAGTCCCTGTTGCTCATCTCTTTGAGCCATGATGGGAGAAAGAACGATTGTAAGATCAAAGATCAGCTTCGTGATCGTGAGAGATCAGCACGTGGCTGATCGGTAAGATGAATTCCTCATCGGCTCGCGCTTTCACCTAAGCCATCTCGAGTTGAGCTGCCAGGCGTGTGCCACCGACAGCTCTATTGCTCGAGCGATGTCCTTGCACACCTATGAGCCACCACCGACATCGAATATCCTATTATCGCTTTTGCCGATCCCACCATCTGGCGTCCGCCGCCGATCGACTAAGGAAATCTGAAGAACCATGCGTGAAACGCGTTGGCTGAGAGGGGATACGGGTTGGTGTCGACGGCAAACGTCTCACACCATGGTGGCTAAGGGCAAGAAGTGACAGTCTGACACTGGCAATCGGTGATCGCCCACACATTGATGATCAATCATTTCTTCTTGACTTGGTCCTGACCACCACCATCGCAGACGTTTGTCATCGCGATGACTGGAGCAAGTACACCATTCATCTTGGACGTTTGCCATTGAGATGAATACCGTTTTCGAATCCCAAAAACTTGTATTACTCGCCTGCCCATTGGCCAGACGATCCACCATCGTTACGTTCTCGCTAGTGAAGACTACGTTCATATACACCTACTATGCCATTCTACTAGTTGCTGCAACGAACAAAGCGAATACCTTCTTGGAAATCTTCAACTCCTTCAACTCCAATAAGGAAAGCGAGGCCATCCACTCAGAGTTGTACAAGCATGCCGGGAGCCCCTTAGGCGCATATCTCTTGCCTGGCGTCTCGACTCGTACACGAGGGGCCGGCTTGGTGCCGTTATGGAGAGCCTGGAAGCGACTAGTCTGCTTGTCGATGATGCTCATGTAGTCCACAATGAGTGGTTCGCGCCAGACGCAAAGTTTGACGATGTACTTTCTGACCTTGGCGCCATTGTCGAGCGAATTGAATTCTTCCTCCTCGGACATTCCGCCCGCCCCAAGGAGATCCAGTATCTCCAGCAATCTCTCCCATGTTGCAAGATCGTCCGCACCTTCGGACTCCTTCAGTGCGATTGTTGCTGTCACTGTGTTGCGGCGATGGTTGAATTTCTGGTGGAAAGGTTTAGAGAATCGTAAATTGTCGCCTGAACTCGAACACGCACCATGTGCTGACCATTGACGGTTCGGGACGAGACTCGTCGATTGAATAAGACGATCTTGCCACGAGCAACCGCTTCTGCCTCCGTCTCCATACGTCCCTTCTCCTCATCCCACTTGGGCTGAAATTGCTTCCAGTCCGCGCGGTAGCGCACGAGCTGTTCTGCCAGGATGTATCCAAGGTACTCTGGCGATATGAGTTCTTTCTGGATATATCGCATATTGAGCAAGTCCTCCCTAACAACGTCAGCAACAAGTCTCTCCATTACCGCAGCATTCCATGCGGAGGACTTGTAGTCCACGCCGAAGTCAAACTGATATCTCTGGAATGCGGCTTCATCATCCTGAGCAAATTCTTCGACTTCTTCTTCCGTAGCGGGGATATGGAAGATAAAATCTGTCGCTTGTTTGACTCCGAATCTGGCGTAAGTCATTTCGCGCATCAGAGCCTTGAAGTGGTAAGTCTCTTGTGCTCTCCTATGTGATTTCACTCACATGTGCCTTGTTCACTAGCTCCTGTGTCTCTGGCTCAACCGCCGCTTTTGCATCGGATTTCCGACTGGCTTTGCGATGCTGGGTGGATTTCCCCGGACTCACGTTGATATGGGCGGTCTCCCCATTCATCAGCTTCATTGCCGTCACAAATTTGGCCAGCAAGTCGGGATCCACATCCAATTTCGCTGCGAAATCCTCCATAACGGGATTGCGGGGCGCGTCCAATGACGGACCCGGGAGCGGAGCTGGATCCATTGCAAGATCCAGCAAATTGGGCCTGCCGGGCGGGAAGAACTCCTTGCTGACGCGACCACCTCATTTTGCTTGCCTGACTTGGGTCTTGGCACGCCCGTTCTGCTTGATCTGCAGGCGCAGACTCTCCACCTCGTCTTCTCGCTCCTGAACCTCAGCAATAAGCTGGTTAACTTGGTGGTCTCGCGCGCGCTGTATCATGGTTACATTCCAGGCAGTTCACATTCAAGATCTTCTCACCAGAGTCTCTTGCAACCGAAGTGCTTCGGCTGATGCCTCCGCCACCTGGTTCTGTGCAGTAGCAACACGGTTCACCTGTCTCATATATACATCAATAATAACCTTTGCTGCCACAGAACGTACCAAGGAATCGACTTGCTCTTGGCCACGTGCCAATTGAGATTGGAAGTTTCCACCATCGTGCGCCATCTGCAAAATCAATGTCCGTCCCTGCTCAATCAGCCTGTGCAATCGGGCCACTTCCTCTTGACGATCGCGCATCACGTTGAGAGCATTGTCGAGCTGATTGCGAAGGTCCGTGTTCTCAGCAAGAATGGCGCGGCGCTGTTGTCTTGTGTCCGAAGCCACTTGCTTGTGAAATTCTTCGTTTTGGCGGGCCTGTGCACATAAGTCCTTGGTGTTCAAGAAGCTCTGAAGAAACAAACGTACCTTGTCCAATCTCTCTTGGTCTGGGCCAGGTGCAGCTGCCCGCTTGTGTTTGTTGGATCCCTGTTCATCCTGATTCAAGTAGATGCGAATGCGCTGCGCCGAGGTTCATCAGCATTTAAAGGCACCGGAAGTCATATCATTGCACACAGGAGCAGGGGTGTAAGGCTCTTGACCCATTGAATCATCCTTGTCGTTCTGCATGGCTATTCCTGTTGCAAATGCGTGAAACAGGAAGGGGGGCGTGGTAAGGTATGTAGCGCCAACGGTAGAGCAGCAATATAAAGGTAGCCAGACTCAAGAACGTTTTGTGTTCATTATGTATTATCTTACATGTGCCGCCCACGGCATGTAACCGAAAACAAGGATTGCTCTAGAGGATTAGGTACAAATGGCTATTGTGCTTACTTAATCTTGGGGTACAAGGTATTACTATTGTACTTATATACTTATCTGGAATAAAAGAACAATGAACCAGTGGAATCCTAAAAGCAACAGACCAACGATCGTTATCAGCTCCGTAGTCTAATCTTCTAGATAGCACGTTGTCGTAGCAATCCAACGATCAGCAATCGGCAATCGGCGATCAGCGATCAGCGATCCATGGATCACTCATCCATTTTCTTTTGCAAATTGTAGGAGACAGCAAGAGACTAAAATGCATGCAGATAGGGGTTGGAGATACATGCAGTACTAGTATGTAACTGTCAAGCGCTCACTGTACAAGTTCAATAGAGGAAGAGACTGAAGATCAAGAACTCACTTTCCGTGTCCGCAGGTTTCTTTTGACTGTATCAAGAACAACCTTCTCAGCGACTCGACTTTGCTTGGCGGCCGAGTTTTTGCAAACTCAAATAAGAATCTTTTCAAGTGGCCACAGCCCAACGAACTTGTTGACCGCGGGAAACGCCTGTTGAATCTAGATGGAATTAGTCTCCGACTTGAATCATTTGTAACAAGCGAACCTCAGAAACGATTTGGGCCTTGATACCTGGATCCTGTTCCTTCAAAGACAAGGAGGGATTGAACTTGTGACTGCAGAGAGTCTCGACAGCAGTCTGCAGCGAGGAACTAAGAATCATAGTCATTTAGAGGAGAGACACCGTACCTGGAATGCGGTGATATACTCATTGCTCCAGCCAGTCATAAGTGGGAAATCAGCGTCTGTGACATGAGACGGACCACCAGAAGGGATCATGAGCGAGATCGTCATATTCTCATCAAAATCGTCCATCCCATCCGGCTCCGGTTTGCTCATGACAGTGATACCAAGTCCACTCGGTTTTGAGAACTGCGTTACCACGGGCATCAACACCTGCTTCAGCGACGACTGGCAGGATGGCGATTGAGACAACGGAGGGTGTATCGCTTCTGTGCTAGAATCGATGCTGGATGAGCTGACGAAGGTGACTGCCTTCTTTGGATGGGACTTCAGCAGCCGTTTTCTGATATTCTTTTCACTGAACGCAAGTGGAGGCCCGCTGTTCAAGTCACTGTGAAGGAGGGGCGCAGAGATGGTCGGCGGGTTGATGTCGGTATGAGCGAGCAACAGAACGACAGGCGGAGGAGGGGGTGACGGTTGAGGACAAAAGGCCATTACGAGAAAGAGGCAAGGGACGCTGTCCCAAGTGGCCACGCTGTGGGCAGGAAGCTTGGCGATTTATGTATGTAACTCCACAGAGAACAAAGAACAAAGGCTGGAAAGATTATTCGATTACGTGTACAGATAAAGCTAGTCCATGCACGTTTCATTCTTTGTTTAAAGTTCCTATTGTCCATAGCACCATAAAGCTGCGAGGCGTGTATTAAAACGAGTGTCCTCTACATCTACGAAATGCGCGCGAAGTCAGACTATTGTCTGCAGTGCAAGCTCTCCGGCGAAACTGGCGCCATACTTGCCCTGGAAGCCCGGGATGATGGCAAATATCTTGCGAGTGGCGGTAAGCTCCAGAAATCGTTGGGTGGTTTGCGAAGGTGACTAGTCACAGGGTTGAATGCGAACGGACCCAAAGTGTGGGACTTGAAGGATATGCGTCAAGTCGAGGTTGTGACGGTGGCTTCTGATCTCCGCGGCGCGACCACAAAACTCCAATGGATCAAGCGTGAGGACGACATCTGCGAGGCCTTGATCTACGGTACACAGAACGGCTTCTTGGTGTGCTGCCGGTTGGACAACCCGGTTTGTTTGCTCATCAATTGACGGTCTGGCTATCGCGATTGACATGATACTAGGGCAATGCAGAACCTCGTTTCCAAGAGATATGGAACCGCCAGATGAACGCCCCGTGTGAGGTGACGGGACTTGCATTCGATTCGGCTACAAACCGCTTAGCCGCATCTCATCGTGGAGGCACCCTCCAAGTGTTCACACTGAACTCGGCGATGGCTGAGAACGAGGTGTTCTCCGTCGTAATCCGGCACTGCGTTCCCGCAGCTTTGGCATTTGGGGCGATGAGTGGGAATGAACGAGAACTTCTGGTATTTGGACTCTATTGCGGACTTGTGTAAGTGCATTCACGACCACAAAGAAAAAGAAGACTTACCAATTCTTCCAAGATACACCGTCCGTGGGATGAACGTGTGCTCGTCGGATGCCGCGTGGAACCTTGGATGCTGCATGTACGTGTGGCATTCATGTTCTCTGGTTCAGATGCTGAAGAGGTCCGAAGCTCGAATGTGGATATCGACCAGACAAACGGTATCCTGTGCGTGAGCGATCCGTCCAGCGGCGTCCATCTGTATCGCCTCACCGGACGGGAGCTGGTGAAAAGCTTCCTCATACCCGTCAACAAGACACAGCAAATTCGCCAAGTGGCGTTGCTCGACTCAAACCGCGCCGTTGTCAGCGGGAGCGACCATGGGGTTGTATACGTGTACAACCACCGGGACAACTTGTTGACGAAACTGCAAGTCGACCCAAACGCGTGGATGCAGACAATTGCAGTGCATACAAGTAAATTTGAACGGTTTCTACCGTAGTTATCAAGGCCTTCAGACCGCGGATGTCGCAGGGGTCCCTACAATCTTCACGGCCAAATCGGCTGAAGTAAGTGGGAAGAGCGACATCTTCGTGTACCGTAAAACGCTGATAACTCCCAACTTCATGGCAAGACTGGGAAGTTCATTGAAGTGGTTGGGGTGGCTCATGATCATAATGGCAGCAGTAGCATTCGGATACGAGAAGATTGTGGGTACCATCGCTTGGCCGAAGTCTCTTTTAGAGTAGTGGGTAGATAGCAACAAATATGTTCTTTGAGAGACATAAAGTGTGTTCATCTCGACGGCAAACGTCTGGGATGAAGTGTGTCCTTGCTCCATTGCGACAGCAAACGTCTGCGATGGTGGTTAAAGGACAAGAGGCAGAGATCATCTGTCATCGGCAATCACCAATCATGTGATCGTGTGAGACTTGATCTCATCACTTCTGCCACCAACTCCAACTCAAGTCCCACCACCGTCTAGCACAGTGTCCGACGTTTGCCGTCGACACAAATTGTGCTCGAAGCCGTTGCTCTGCCAGACGTTTGCCGTTGGCAGAGTGTATTCGTCAGACGTTTGCCATCGTCAAATGCCAGCTTCATCGCACTACACCTGCGAGCGTTGCCCGCTAGCAAACTTCTGCAATCACAGAGTCCCAAAGCTACAACGAATATCTCACCAATTAGAAATCTCCAAGTCTCAGAATCCCTCCGGAACTCAGACTGGGCGCGTGGTCACATTGGGGATCAAGACTGCCGGTCCTATTGCACCAATCCACGAAGACGACGTGTTGATCCATGTCTCTGACGAAGAAGCCCTATCTGCGGAGGCGACAGCAGATGCTTCTACGCTAGAAATGGAGAGGCTTGCCAGTCTCCTCACTGGTTTGGTCATTCTGGATGAGGGCAAAGAGTCCCATCGTGAAATGCAATCCAAGCTCTTTAGCTCTCGGGACGACTTTCAATCTAGTATATCCGAAGTACCAATAGAATTCATGCCCATCTCCCTTAAACAAGTTCTCGGCAGCGTTGAAGCTGTGCTTCAGGCCCCGACTCTTCCGCTACGGCCAGCGACAATGAAATCCCAAGAGGAAAATATAACTCTCCTACAAGAGATGCTGAAACGCATTCGTGCGGCGCATGCCGAACTAGACCTGCAACGCGCTTTCAATGCAAGTCCCGCCACTGTTGACGTGCTGGTCAACACTGTCCATTCTGCGGGTCTCCTCGTTATTGAGGCTGGCCGTCTTCTCTCAAGTCTCAAGCCCTCGGACAAAACACGCCCACCGAAACGGCTGAGGGTCAGAACCAGAGCAGATGAAAAGATCGCTACTTTGTCCGAGAGTCTACAAGCAGAGGCTACGACCCTCAACTCGCTCATTGATATCATAGGCCCGCTTCTTCCTCCACCAACGCATGTGGTCGAGCACAATTCTGGTATGTGTTTTATCTCGGTGTATCCTACAATTCGCTCACATACATTCTTCCCCAGATCATCATTTTGAAAATCCCATTGCAAAATACGATGTCATTACTCAACTTTCCATCCTTCTCGCCCTCATCTGCCATGTTATCATTGGCATCAGCAGCAACCCCGTAAACCTCATCCTCGCATTCGTCAATGCGATCATACAAGCATTGATGGCACTCTGTGCGCGCGATGGGCGAGCAAAACCTGTACAGGAGTATGTACTCAAACAACTCCCTACATCCTTGGATTCTGCGCTTCGCAGGTTCAAGATTGATCCTACAACCACCATCTACGCGACTTGCCCGTCCTGCCATTACACACACGCGCCACTGGAGGACCGAGTCAACGGAGTGGCCTCGTACCCTGAGATCTGTCAAGGCTATGTATATCCTCGACAAGGAGCGCGCCATGCCTGCAGGACCCAGATTCTTGAACGTCACCAAGGAAAGCTCAGACCTATCCGGCCGTATGTCTTCACTTCTGTGATCGATTATATTGCTGCTACGCTCTCCGACACCGGGATAGAAAGGATGTGCAAGAAGGCTTGTGATGATGCTCTGGCAGCAGTGCGCGCAGCCCTTTCAAAGAACCCCGAGGCGTCTGTGACAGAAGAACGTGTCAATGCTGTCTTTGAGGCGGTGTTTATGCGCAGCTTCGAAGGCCCCGTTCCCAGCAAACTGTTCATCGAAAGAGAAGGTTGCTTGAGGCTCGCCTTCTAAGTCATGCTTGACTTCTTCAATCCCAACGGGACAAGGAAGCGGGGAAATCACAATTCAATTGGGATCCTTGCCATTGTCAACCTGAACCTGGACGAGAACATCCGGTATCGTCCAGAAAACATGTGGCTCAGTATTATACTCGGTCCCAATGAGCCCAATCATGATCAAATCGACAACTATATCCGCCCACTCATGGACGTGTTTGTTGTCGGTTGGGAGCAAGGATTCCGACTATCTTGCACTGCTCTGCACCCATCTGGCCGCGATTTGAACCTCGCACTCGTTATTGACGTCAACGACTTACCTGCGACACGAAAGATGCAAGGCATGGCCGCCCCCACTTCAAATCACTATTGCTCAATCTGTGATTGCTATGGTGTTCATACCATGTACAATACGGAATATCATGCTTGGAATCGACGTGATATCACAGTCCTGCGTGCTCAGGCCTTTGCATGGCGAGATGCGCCAAGTCAGGCGGTTAGAGACGCCATCTTCTCTCAGTATGGCGTTTGTTGGTCTGAGTTTTGGCGTTTACCGTACTGGGACCCCACCCGCATGGCTGTCGTAGATTCAATGCATTGCATCTTTGAAGGACTTGTACATTATCACTGCCGTCGAGTGCTGCGAATTGATACCAAGTTGGCCAAGCGCAAGGAGACAATGGGCGCGGCTTTCAAGCATGCTTGGCTGGAGTATGACGCTGCAACATGCCATCCGGCTTGCTTATTGCAGACCGAAGTGAGAGAATTGCCCATGATCCGCGCCATACAACAAAAGCTCGTACAACCCTTGCTTGCCAATGAAGATGAAGTACACGAGGATGTAGAGCCTGTCGATGACAACATCGAAATGGTCGACGCTTCCGATCCTCGTTTTGTGCCGGCGATCAGCATTGATGAGTTGCGCCAGCAGCTCATGAGGACCAATCTCCAGCCACTTCGCTGGGTCGTGTTCTCGCTTGGGCTCAATACGGACCCAAGTTGTATCATATCGAAGAAGGCCTGCTGTGATCAACTACTCTCTTGGGTGTGTATCTCTCTGTTTGTTCCATGAGCCGGTATTCACGTCTTTTTAGCGCCGCACAAAGCCGCTCACAAGCGATACATTCATCCCCCGGTCGATCAACCTTGCCAATATTCATTTCATCCAACGCGTCATCAAGCAGACTACTACTCCGGCTTGGGTGGATTCGGTGCCTTCGAATTATGGTGATAGTCATGCGGGGACAATCAAGGCAGCTGAATGGCGCATATTGGCAACGATATATCTCCCCATTGCTCTTGTCATCCTCTGGGGCGACCATGATCCCTCAGAGCAATCAACACGCATGCTCCAGATGCTGGATCATACAATGGCGCTGTTCTCGGCGGTCATTTTAGTCAGTCGATACACAATGACCCCTTTGCGGGCTTCCAAATATCGTTCTCTTCTGAAGCAATGGGTAGATGGTCTCCCAACCAATCATCCCCATACTCAGTCTCATGCCATGCGGCCAAACGTCCACATGGCTTTTCACATCTACGACTTTCTCATACTCTTTGGTCCCATTATCTCCTGGTGGACATTCCCTTTCGAACGCGTAATTGGATTCCTCCAGAAGATCAATACCAACGATCATATCGGCGGAGAACTTGAAGCCACTCTGTCCAAATCCTTTATGCGTGGAGCAAGCATTCGGCAATGGTTGCAACGACCCGACTGCCCCCCCGTTTTCATTGAGCTGAAAGTTCTGTTTGATAAAACCTTTCCATCTTACAATCTACCCGCTGATTCGCCACCACTTGCCAAGGCTGGAGAACGCGCACACTACAAATGAAGTGGTACCAACTTCTCTCGAGCCAGCACGCACTTGGGTAACAGTCTTGTCATGTATTACCCTCCCCATTCACGCGAGATGATTGCCGGAAGTATTGAGAAGATCGTTGAGCACGGAGCAGATGTTGTATTTCACATCAGACAGCAGGCTCCGCTAGCCCAGGGGATGCGGGATCTGTTCTCTCGATACAGACCGTTCTTTCCAGCCCGTACATACTCATCCTCCATGTCCAATGTTGTTGACACTGTACCGATAGATGATGTAGTATCTCACTGTGCCCGATTCCATTTCTCTGATGATCGTTGTGTAATTCTAAACATGTCTGTAAGTTAGCTATTCTTGTTGTTGACAAAGTGTTATCTTGGAATGGATGAGCGGCGGACGAGCGGCAGATCATCCAGCGATACATATTTGCGACCGTGATATCTGTGATATAAGTGCGGCCCAAAAAGCCGCACTTATATCACAGATATGATTGTCACCATTAGCGAGATCTTTTTAGGTCATATTGCGGTCAAAAGTGTCCTTCCTCATATTGCTCCTTTTCTGCTCCAAATAAGTGTCCTTGATCTGTGGCAAAAAAGCTACATAAATGAGTAATCTAATTAGAGTCCTGATATGTCGTTTTTCTAAAGCTACATTTTACGCTCTGATAGGTGATTAAACGGGGGCTCTTTAGGTATGCATTATATTTTAACTATTGATTCGACTATTGTAGGACTTTTTTTGTACTACAATATCTCAACTATAAATGAAGCTTTATGGCTCCTGTTATTTGGCATCCGCCGGTGTGCATTTGGGTTGCCGCATATAGCGTGTATCGAAGGAGGTACGGTAGTCGTTACCCGCCATGATGATTTTCGCACAAAAGATTGATCACTGATCACCTGCCTGCCTCACTATTCCTGACGCTTTGTGACTGGACCAGAAAACACTATTGACCCTATACTGTCGCGCAACACGTGATGATGGCACATCCCTGATGGGCGGCTTTCCCGCGCGATTTGTACCCTATACAGTGTCATCGTCGCGAGGACTTGTGCGTTTTGAGCGCAACAGAGTGTAGATTAGGTATCTAGACTGGACATAAGAAAAGATAATGATTGGTAATCCCCACGTGATCTGTCTTTGTTGATATCTACCAAAATAGCTTGATGCATTGGAGGAACATGGCCGGAAATTCGTTGAAGACATGCGTCGAGCCGCAGACATAGTTGAAGGTCAACTTGGTAATGTCGAGGGCTCCCAGATCCTTCTGCGCAGTCTTAAAAGGTGGAAGATCGGGAATGACGTAGGTAAATTTGTTACTGACTTCCGGCACTCAAACGAGACTGGACGTGTGAAGCGGTCGGTCTGGGGGATCAATGGGAATGCAGCCGAAAGGCGCTACAGCAATAATACCATGGGCGCCAGTCAATCTTGATCGTAACAATTATTTATCTTGTAATTGATCTTATCTATCTCTTATCCACACTCTGTTGTGCTCAAAACGCACAAGTCCTCGCGACGATGACACTGTATAGGGTACAAATCGCGCGGGAAAGCCGCCCATCAGGGATGTGTCATCATCACGTGTTGCGCGACGGTATAGGGTCAATACTGTTTTCTGGTCCAGTCACAAAGCGTCAGGAATAGTGACGCAGGCAGGTGATCAGTGATCAATCTTTTGTGCGAAAATCATCATGGCGGGTAACGACTACCGTAGGAGGCGAAGATCTATGCGGTCAAAGTGCGCATAAGCGGCAACTCGCTCTTTCAGCTTGCCTATACCTTCCTTTACGCGAAGAGTTATAAAATAATTCCAAGTTCTCGTGGAATATTTGTGGCATCCCACTCTCGCTGAACTAAATGCGCCCAAGAGGCGATGTCAATGGGCGCTGATAATTTGGCGTCGGTGATGGCATCTGGCTGCTGCCATCACGTGACCGTGACGAGGCCCAGCTCGACAACTACTTACTGCAATTTCCTCGTCAACAAGTGGCAGAAGATTCGTACGCGTTCGCATCCAATGCGGCTCGACCGGAGATAATCTTTCGCACCAGCGCGCATTCAGTGTGACGTACGCGCAGGAAGACACTGACCAAAGAAGACGAAGAACACGATGGGTATTCTCAGCAAGGCTGCTGCTGCTTTGTCGGTGTACTACTTATCAATCGAAGACGTGGGGCGTTTTCTCGCACGTTGGGCGGCTTCTCATGAGCCCGAAACAGATTCCTGATTGTCTCGCATGCACGACTTCCCCCGAGGGTTACGTATCGATAATAAGCCCTACGGGGAGGGACGTGCGAAATGTGCGCTTCGTGCTCGCTCCTCCTCCTCCCGTCTCCCTCAACCCATGTCGGACACTGAGAAGAATTTTGCCGTGAACAGCAGCCCAGGGATTCCGTTCGACGACGACCATCACTCCTCGAAGGATCCGTTCGCTCTCCGCGCACATACGGCCGGCCGGTTGGTCATCGATCCAGCGTCAGTAACTCCACCCTCTCTTCCTCGAAATTGCGTGCGTGGCTGAAGACTCTGCCCCAAAGCGAAGCCAGACTCGAATTCGGCGACGCCGTCGCCGCGCGGCTGAAGCTGTCCGCGGATGGGAAAACGGTGCTGTGGCCCCAGGTGCGCATGCACCGCCCGCACCCACCTGAGCGCCGACCGCCGACACTGGGCAGCCCACCGAATCGCCCGAGGACCCGCAGAACTGGAGCGACGGCAAGAAGTCCTTGATGCTCATCGTCGTCACGCTGGTGGGTCCCCTTCCCAGCCCTCGATGCGTTCCGTGCGCTGACGGAGAAGCGCAGGCCGCCGTCGTCCCGGACTTTGACTCTGGGATCGGCATTGCGGCGATCTTCAAGCTTGCGGAGGAGTATGGTACAACGACGGGTGTGATTAACAACTTGACCTCCAAGTGCGCTGCTCTGCATCAGTGCCAGAGAGGGTCGAGAATATTGATCTTTCTCGTGCAGCTGGAGTATCTTCCTTGTCGGTGCGCTGCCTGTTACTTTCTGCAAGACAAGCAACTGATGACTTGCGAAAGGTTGGGGAGGAATTACCGCTGTGTCGGTCATCGATCCTTTGCGTCCAGATTGAAAATGCACTGATCCATCCAAGTATGGCTGTTCGGCGTTTGGGTCGCCTTCCGGTTCTTTTCTGGTCTCAAATCCTGTCTCTGGGGTTCTTAGTCGGAGCGACATTCGCGCCGAACTTGAACACGTTCACAGGTGTGTGTTTGACATCTTCCACAGCTGCGTAGACTGATCTTGGATCGATCCAGCTATGCGTTGTTTGACTGGATTTTTTGGGTCAGTAGCATAGTCCAACCGACACAAAACTGAACTCATGTAAATCTTCTTCAGGACCACACCGCAAGTGATTGGTTTGTATGTCGTGACGGATTTGTATCCATTCCATCTGCAAGCACGGATGGTCTGTGGAATCCCCTCGATTGCGCAGCGGACTGGCATTGAAACTCCTCTCCGCAGCTGAACTTCTGGACAATGGGGTTCATCATCTCGCCGTTTCTGTCGCCTTTCCTCTTTGGGTTTCTGGTCGCCCGCACGTCCTGGCGCTGGGCCTACGGGATCGGCTGCATCTACGGATTGATTGTCATCCTCCTGATCGTATTCTTGATGGAAGAAACGTCCGTCGCCTTCTTCTCCTGGCCCAAACATCATGTCTGATCTTCCTGCAGAATCTATGACCGCACCATGAAACCGATCCCGGAGCGCCCCACCTCAGTGTCACGGTACCGTGTCGAAACGCTGTTTGGGATCACGGGTTTGAAGATGCAGAAACACCGCGTCTCGTGGAAAGAGGCTATTCTGTCGCCGTTTGCAGTTGTCTGGCGCCCCCACATCCTCGGGCTGCTAGTCTTCGAGGTCCGTCCCGCACGAGCAGTGACAGAATCAAATATAATCCTGTGCAGGCTTTGCTGTTCGGTTTCGGCATTGGGATCAATGTAAGTTCGATTGCACATCGGACTCGACCAGGCCCCCGGCTACTACACTAAAGGTCAGTCCGTCCCGGCACCTTGATTTGCACTAAAAATTTGGGCTCTTGCCACCTTGATTTGCACTATTCCGGACCGAGGTCACCAAATTAGGCAATTTTTGATGTACCGCTATTTTACATGTCTAAGCGTTTCTGAGCGTCCCTGGCGCCTTGCTGGCGCCGAGAGCACAACTTAGACCTCTTTACAGCATGCACGGAGACTTTTGAAGACTTTTTGGACGTCTTGGACGCTCTCGCGTTAGTCTTGGCCGTTGTAGCCTTGGATTGGGGTACTATACATAGATGTAGCGTAGATTGACAACAAAATCACAGATGCTGCTTTAGTGCGGAAAGCCAGGAGAATTGGCTAAAATCTGGGCTCTGGAGACATATAATCTCAAAAAGATTCGCCGGCAAAGTCGGCGATTTGCACTATATACGCCTGGGGTCGGGGCCTCCGGCCCCGATTTGCACTATATCTCCGCCTGAGACTTGCCCATTTTCGGGCCTTGATTTGCACTATTCCGGACTGATTTTATAGGGAGTAGCCGGGGGCCTACTCGACCCTCGTTCTCACGAAACAGGTTACGAACGCGGTCTTCCTTGGCAGTCCTCCGCCGGTTGGATTTGGCTGGTCGCAGTATGCGATTGCAGGCGGGTACGGTACTCCCATCGTGCGTGCGCCCCCGAGCTCGCAAGTCAGCTGCATCTGATCTCGGGTAGGTGTCGGTGGTTGTGGGTGAATTGATCGGCCGGTACATGAACGACTGGATCATGGACCGGAGTGTGCAACGGAACAACGGCGTCTTCGAAGCGGAGAGCCGCCTGTGGGCCTGTTACGTCGCCGTCCCGCTCAACGTCGCCGGTCTGGTTCTTCTGGGCGCGGCATTCCAGAAGAGACTGAGCCCGTTCGCTGTTATCATGGGCTGGGGATTGGTTGAGGTGTCGGTCATGATCAACACCGTCGCGGTCTGTCAGTGGTTCTTGTTTCGCGCATCTGCCATGAGCGGCCAACTCAAACTGCGCAGACGCGTACTGCAACGATGCGTTTCCGGAACATCAGGCGAGCACTCATCCGGCTTCACACGTCCACCGCAGCCTAAATCCAACTGCCCTCACCAGGGCGAAATCAGCGCCCTGATAAACCTGGCCCGCGTCCTCGGCGGGTTCGGCGTCGCATACTTCCAAATTCCGTGGGCCATCAAGAGCGGTGCGCTGCAAGTGTTCGGGTGTGAAGCAGCGTTAGTCTCCCGGCTATCATCCTCTCCCATGCGTGATAACCGGGTTTTCGTGCAGCATTGATGCGGGTCTCTTTCTGCTCGTCGTGCCTGTTCTTCAAGTATCGGGGCGGGATCTTCGGGCTCGGTTCTCGCTGCGTTAGCTCGTTCAGTTATCTTCACGTCGTATGAGCATGGGATTTGACCGTCGGGGTTACTACTTTGTAATTTCAATAGTTGGTGCCTTGAACACTGCTACTCAACAAGAGTATCCACAGTCCTGCTCGTCACCCATCGCACCCAACCTGGCGTATGCGAGCAGAACATGCTAAGGACCAGGCCGTCGACACTGGCCGGCCCCATCCGGCACTCGAGAAGGAGACGTTCAGTGAAATCCTCGGGTGTGAAGACGAGGAAAGCACTCGAGCGCAGCGATGGGTTATGGTTAGGTGACATTACTTTGATGTCCAACGGGTTGGATGTGAGTCGACCCCCATCCCAGGAAATAGCCCACGTCTCCCGCCTCGTTTATATCCAGCGGTTCGAACACATCCATGGTGGGGCTGTCCATCTCGAGACAGCGCAGATGTGCGAAGTGACCAGGGGTGCCTTCGAGAAAGGCTGCTGATATATAGCCCCTGGAGCATGAATCCGAGCTCTCCTCAGCGCACTACGGTAGTTATCCAGAATAGATCCGAACGAAAGAGCAGAACTTGTTGGTGGCTCGCTGTCGAAGACCAGGAAAGGCGGTGTGATAATTCGCCCTAAAGACTCAGAAGAGACCCAGAACATTCAGATGTTTGTAGAACGTCCTGCCCCGGTCGTCCATCTGAAGAGAATCGAAGCCGGCGGGCGACTAAGCAAGAATATGATTAGGATCCTCCTTGTGCATCCCCGTTCGAGAGCCAAACGGGTCGCAAGCAACAGCTGTCCAGCGTCAGCGATCCTCCCGCTGTGAAACCGGAACTGATGGAGAAGTTTGTCCGCTGGAGGCACATGTCACGCTGTCACAGCACTGGCAGAGGTCGTTCTCCGGTCTCCCGGAGTCGTTACCGAAGTCTCGCACCGGATCTAAAAAACATTCGCTCGAAGACTTGACTGTGTATGTTTCCCCTGGTTGAATGAATGCAGCTACGACGCGGAGTCGCTGCCGACTCTGTCTTCCGCATGTCGAAACAATCGTCACGGCTTTGATCATTGAAGAAGGTCGAGCTGTCGGAATCCGTGCTGAGCCAGCAGCAGCCAGCTGGGTCTACGACCTCGATCACAGTGCTCGCTAGTCTTGTGCGCGGGTCTGGTTAGCTCACCGCAACTTCTGACGTTGAGGTCGTTGTCGCTCGCAGGTTCGGCCGAGGCCACGGTCTCTTTTCATACATCTGCTAACTGGTCCGTCCGGACTCCACTGGCCGTGTCAGCCTACTGTAATGTCTCGGGATGTACGGGACCAACCGAGTTGCAACTTAGGACTCTTCAACGGGAAGGGATCTCAAAATCGCGTACCGATATGTGCCACTTTACGGGCAGCACTGGCTCTCGGTCGCACAGTTCGCGCGAGTGGGTATCCTATGGAGCTGTTCCTTATCCCAGAGACTGCGCACGATTCGAAGCTGGACGATTTCGTCGACAAGCATCTCATGACGACGTATCTCTATTCGTTGACTTGCCGGATGGCGCCCGAAGAGGAGGGCGGGGTGGTCGAAGACGAGCTCAGAGTACGCGGCGTCACAGGTCTGCGGATTGCGGATGCCAGCGTCTTTGTCCAAGTGCCGGCTTGCCATCTCCAGACTCCAACGGTCATGATAGCGGAGCGTTTCATCGTTCCAAGAACCTGAACGATAACATATTCTTGCTCCCCAGCTATTGGTGGTGTGCATTCGACAGACACATCCTCACTAGCCATCACAAAGCTCGATAATGGATCCCTGACCGTCCTTACGAGTATACAGATATATCACAGTGTTTCCTACAAATCCAGATCGAGCACAAACACTCAATGCCCAGTGCTCATACACTACTTATACAATTCACTCGCGCTTTAGCATTGGCGCGCAAAGCCACTCTGACCCGCGCTGTCCTCCTTCGCCGCATCACCAAAGTTCCCCGGGTCCGGACGTCCGTGTTCCTTGTCAGGCTGGTGGACAGTCTGGGCCTTGAGCAGCATCGAGGTCGCCGTCGCGTCTAGAATAGAAAGGGGGCATCAGCGAACAGGTTCAGCGCGTGGAGAGGAAGTTACGAGAGAAAGAGGTGTGTAGGAAGGCAGCGACGAAGAGGGACAGGAAGTGCAAGGGGAGGAAGAGGGCGGTGTGGATGAAGCGTGAGGGGAGGGACGACATCGTACGGATGTCCAAGTGGGCGGGAGGACGGGGGGTGAGTTCGGGATGCGTGATGGTACCAAGTGGGGGGATGGTTGCTATCGACGGTGGAGGGTTTGTGTCTTCGCGGATGTATGATGAATGGGGAGGAACGGGGGGCAGAGCTGTCGACGGGCGGAGACCCGACACATGCACTTGCGCCTCCGCTCGCGAAAAGAAAGTTCTCGAGCGAGCCGACGTACCCATCAATCCCTCGGTAATCTCCAGAATGTCCACGATGAGGCGCTCGATCAGGTCTTCACTGAGAGTTTCGCGGACTGCAAAGCTCGATCAGCAGCAGAAAGAAAAGCTAAAGTCGGCTCCACCCACCGACAACACGGAGGATCTGAGTATCAGCCTCGCCCTGTGGCGCATTATAGTTGGGCACGATCCAGCCCTTCGTCCGCAGCATCGACTGGATCCAGGACTGCTCGACATGCGGGTATTCGGATTGGAACTTGTCCGAGAGCCGGAAAGACACGACCGGCAGCCCTCGCTCATAAAACTCAGGCTCATCCGTGTTCTCAGTCTGCGGCAACTCGCGCTGTCCGCGTTCGGAGGGCTTGTGGATGTTGCTCAGCACAGTGAAGTACGTGGCATCCAAGGCTCGAGACAGCATCCGGGCGTTGCGCAGATCCTTGATCGCGATGCGGCGGTAGCCTTCAAAGCCCAGATTGAGGAAGTTGAACATCTGCACGATGATCGGCGCGGCAGGCTTTGAGAAGTTGCTACAAGAAGGTGAGAAAACGAGGCCTGACGGAGACACGAGATCGACCCACAGAGTAAACGAGTACTCCACGCTCCCAAGATAATCTGTACCCAGAATTCAGCACTGATTCAGTGACTGGGCGGAAACTCACGCAGCTCGAAAACGAGATCCTTGTGCAGGTACGACTCGTCTCTCCAGAGAATCCAGCCGAGGCCAGCGTAGACGAGACCAAACTTGTGCCCCGAAGTGTTGATGGACACCACACGTTTGACGTCAAAGGCCCACTTCAAGTCCGGGTAAGCGAAAGGAGCGATGAAGCCTCCAGACGCGCCATCCACGTGTATCGGGACATCCAGGCCAGTCTTCTCCTGCAGCTCGTCCACTGAAGTGACGTCAGTCATTGCACAAAAACGCCCATAGGCCACGCACACAAGTCAGACATGAGTCCGACGTTCTCAAAGTGGCCCGTGTAGGTGCTGCCCAGGATCACCATCACGCCGATCGTGTTCTCGTCGATGAAAGGAAGCGCGTCGTGGGGGTTCATGACGTAGTTCGTCGACGCGTTCACAGGCACAAGGCGTGCCTCGACATCCCAGTAGCGTGCGAACTTCTCGAGTGCGACCTGGGCGTTGGATCCAAACACGATGTTCGGGTGGAAGTAGTCCTTGCCGGCAGCCTGCGAGTTGCGTCAGCCAGTATTCAGACTTCCATAATCGATCCCACCGACCTTGCGGGCCTCCTGCCAGCGTTTCTTCATAGCGAGACCGCCGAGCATGATAGCTTCAGACGAGCCAGCTGTCGAGGTCCCGATCGCTTTCCCGTCCTTGGGCGCTTTCCACAGATCGGCCAGCATCGAGATGCAGCGGTTGTGGATGATCGTCGCCGCTGGGTACTCGTCCAGATCGACCTGATTCTTATTCATATTCTCCATGATCAGTTTGTCTGCCTCTTCGGGCATCCAAGTGTGCACGAAGCTGGTCCTTCTCGTCAGCTAGTCACAAGAAGGCGCGACAAGCGCTGCTACATACGACGCGAGGTTCAGCAGCGGGTTCCCATCGAGTGCGGTCTCATCGTGCAGGAGTTGGTAGGCGGCCTTCGACGGGATGCCCTCCTGCGGGATAGTGTACTTGGACACGCGCGCGGCATCTTCATCGCGCGACCACGACTGGTGCAGGGTCTGGCGCCCTTCCTGCTGGGCGTGCTTCCGGAACGGATGCTCCTTGCAGTTCTGGATCACATCCTCCGCGTTGACTGGCGGCGAGCGCGGCAGTGAGCTGGGGCATCGATCAAGATGCGTGGGAAGTGCGTACTGTGCCGGGAGAGAGACATGTCTTGTTAGAGGGAGACAGTTGAGGGGAAATCTGGGTCTTGGACTGCATTCCAGCCTTCACGCTGAGGCTTAAATAGCGCCCTCAGCCTCAAAGTTATTGTGTCATTGATTGATGTAGAGTGTTCGTCGGAAGTCCATCGATGAGCCTCGAACCCAGGTGATCACGGGGCAATGCATAGTAAACGTGTGAGCTTTAGTTTCTAGAAGGGTTGTGGAGACTGTAGGTTTCGGATCCGGAGTGGCATGGTGGTTGTGGGAGCAGATCGTTCTGAGTTCGAATTTATGCTGACGAAATCACAGAAGCCCGGGAACGCGTCTTCAAAAGCTGCGATCATTCTCTGCGCTCAGCATCCGCTTCAGGCCTCAGATAGTAGAGAGTAGCTTGGGGCGAGACGTCAAGTTCCTCTATCTTGGAAACAGTCTTGATCTCGCACCACTCAGACTGCCAGGCCAACGCTCTCCCAGCTGAGAGCTTCCTCTCCCTCCGCTATTCTCCGGTGCCCGAGCCGGCCCTGAACACATGGGGGACACAGAAGCCCACCTGCACGCCTTTCTCACGTGTTCAAGCCTGTTCATTAAAGACGCCGATCGAGAAAGAAGAAGAAATAGTTGTGTTCTCTCAATATAAATAACTGAGAGCGCGATAGCGGCCTGCCATGCACCTCCCTTTTTCAGCGCTTTTCTCGCCTTTCCACTCGATTTGATCCAACTACTGGGCATCCCAGCACTAGTCAATCCTCTCACTTCTGAGAAGTTCTCTCTTTTTCCGGCGTCCCAAATGATTGGAAGCTGAGCATCGAGGCATCCTTCTCGACACTGCAATGCTCCGGTCACACATTCTCAGAAGACATGCTCACCTCGTGTTGAGAAGGCCCACACAGATGCCATGTCCTGCAAGGACTATTCTTGGAGTTGGGTCCTTCGCCGCTCACAGCCAACTGTCAAGTAGCATTCCATGCTCTGCATCTACAAATATATTCACATTTACTCGCTCTTGTCGGACTCGGACCCGTCCGCCTCCTCGTGCCGGGACGCGTTGGCCGCAGCAGCAGCTTTGGACAGCCGTTTCGCACGCGCGAAGATGCCCACCTCCTTG